ACAGAGAGACAGAGCAAGAGAGACAGACAGACAGAGAGACAGAGAAAGAGAGACAGAGCAAGAGAGAGAGACAGAGCAAGAGAGAGAGACAGAGAGAGAAAGAGAGGGAGACAGAGAGAGAGACAGAGACAGAGCAAGAGAGAGAGACAGAGAGACAGAGAGAGCAAGAGAGAGAGACAGACAGAGAGAGAAAGAGAGAGAGAGAGAGACAGAGAGATAGAGTGAGAGAGAGACAGAGAGAAACAGAGAGACAGAGAGACAGAGTGAGAGACAGAGAGACAGAGCAAGAGAGACAGACAGACAGAGAGACAGAGAAAGAGAGACAGAGAGAGAAAGAGGGAGACAGACAGAGAGACAGAGACAGAGCAAGAGAGAGAGAGACAGAGAGACAGAGACAGAGAGAGCAAGAGAGAGAGACAGACAGAGAGAGAAAGAGAGGGAGACAGAGACAGAGAGATAGAGTGAGAGAGAGACAGAGAGAAACAGAGAGACAGAGAGCAAGAAAGAGACAGAGAGACAGAGAAAGAGAGAGAGAGAGGGAGACAGAGAGAGAGACAGAGAGACAGAGACAGAGAGAGCAAGAGAGACAGAGAGAGAGAGGGAGACAGAGAGATAGAATGAGAGAGAGACAGAGAGAAACAGAGAGACAGAGAGAAACAGAGAGACAGAGGGAGAGAGAGAGACAGAGAGAGAGAGGGAGAGAGCTTGTGCACTGTGTGCACACTGGGACTGGGGCTGGAGCTCAGGGCTGCATGCTCTTGCCAGGTTTTTCCACTCAAGGCTGGCCCTCTACCACTTGAGCCGCAGCACTGCTTCTGGCTTTTGCTGGTTGAGTCTCCTGGATTTGCTGGCCCTGGCTGGCTGAATGGTGCTCCTCCTGTGCAGCCAGGCTCATGGCCTGAGTCCTCAGTCTTCATCTGGTCTCTAGGCAGCTAGGCACACCAACATGCTGTCAGCAAGGAGCCAGGGGCTCCTGGGGCTTGCGGACAGGGGCTGATGGGGTGGGGCACAGTCCCCCCAGGACTGCTCAGGATCTGCACTTTCCTCTCCTGGATCCTCAGCCAGTCCCTGAATGCCACATCCGGAGGTCAGCACTGGTGCCTGGGTGGGTGTGGCCAGGTAGCACCCCTTCCTCCCGGGCCTGGCAAGGAGGGGCCGTGTGGCAGACCCCCTGCCCCCCCAGCCCTTTGCCAGGCGCCCAGCCCCGAGCCAGAGCCTCGCGTCCGCTGTGTGCCCTCCCCACCCCCCACCACTCCGAGATGCGGTTCTGAGCTCATGTGCGTGCAGGGGGAGCCGTGTTCGCTGTCGTGGGGGCGTGAGAACCGCCAACAGACCATTTTGCTGTGAATTGTAAGTAGAACAGTTGATGATTTGCATACCGTAGTAGAGGGCGGGAGGGAGGACGAGGGAGAGTGTTGAGTGTTGTGTAGAGTTCGTCTCACCTCGGGTGGCTGCTTCTGTCCCTGTGACATGGATCTGCTGAGGGAGGCCGGAGACACAGGCCGAGGATGGTGAGCAGAGAGCCGCCGTGCTGGCTGCGAGCCATGAGCGCTGGCACCAGGAGCGTGGCTGTGCAGGGCCGACTGCCACGAGGCACCGTGGTTCGATCTCAGCCAGGGGACGCCTGTCGTCCTGGCTGCATGGGATGAGGCTTGACGTCCAGAGCCGCCCGGGGCAGCAAAGTCTGTGGGACTCTTCTTCAAAGAACCACCAGAAAACCAGAAGTGGCGCTGCGCCAGCCTTGAGCAAACAGGCTCAGGGACAGCCCTGCCGGCTCGGGTGGCAGCAGGCTGAGCCCCGGGGCCCGGCACCTCCCACACTGCCGGGGGGCGAATGCGGTCCTGAATTTGCACCAGGACCGTGGCGCTCCTGCCCCTCCCCGCCCGCGTCAGGCGACCCAGGAAACCGGCTGCGGGCTGGGCGGCTGCGGTGGGACTGCCGGTGGCTCCACAAGTGGCTTGTGTGCGCTGCGCGTGCATGTGTACGTGTGTGTGTGTGTGTGAATGTGTGAGTGTGTGTGTGTGAGAGTATGAGTGTGTGAGAGTGTGTGAGTGTGTGAGCGAGTGTGAGCGTGAGTATGTGAGTGTGAGTGTGTGAGAGTGTGCGTGAGTGTGTGTGTGCATGTGTGTGAGTGTGAGTGTGTGAGTGTGAGAGAATGTGTATGTGAGTGTGTGAGAGTGTGTGAGTGTGCGAGAGTGTGTGTGTGCATGTGTGTATGACAGTGAGTGAGTGTGTGAGTGTGTGAGAGTGTGTGTGAGTGTGAGTGTGTGAGCGAGTGTGAGAGAGTGTGTGAGTGTGCATGTGCGTGAGTGTGTGCGCGTGGGTGAGTGTGAGTGTGCGTGAGTGTGCGTGAGTGTGTGCGAGTGTGCATGAGAGTGCGAGAGTATGTGAGTGTGTGTGTGTGTATGAGAGTGTGTGCGTGTGTATATGTGTGTGTGTTTGTATGTGTGAGTGTGTGTGAGTATGAGTGTGTGTGTTTGTATGTGTGTGCATGTGTGTGTGAGTATGAGAGTGTTTGTATGTGTGTGCATGTGTGTGTATGAGTGTGTGCGTGTGTATGTGGTGCATGTGTGTGTATGAGTGTGTGCGTGTGTATATGTGTGTGTATGTGTGTGTGTGTATGTGTGTGTGTGAGTGTGTGTGTGTATGTGTGAGTATGAGTGTGGACGCTGCCCAGGCATTCTCCCTGCTGCCCTGCAGGGGGGCGCCTGCCAGCCGGGCCCTGCAGCCCACAGCAGACAGCTCTGGGCTCTTCTCTCAGCCTGGGCCAGGCAGTGGCCACACCGCAGTGTCCAGCCTGAGAGCAGATGGCCGGGGCTCAGGGTGCTGGGGGCTCATCGACACTCGGCAGGGTGTCGGAAACAGGTGCTGCTGGTCTTGTGGGGAGTGAGCCCCGCGATGACCCGGCCACCTCTGACAATGCCTGGGGTCTGGGCGGTTGGGACCACTGTCAGACGCTGCAGGAGAGCAGCAGGTGCAGTTAGTCCTGGCTGGCCTCAGTGAGCCTTGACCACGGCGTGGCCTTGAACACAGCACCAGCCTGTGGTTTCTTTTCATCTTTTTTTTTTTGGGGGGGAGTCTGGTCGTGGGTCCTGAACTCTGGGCCTGGGCACTGTCCCTCAGCTCTTTGAGCGCTCTACCACTTAACCACAGCACCACTTGCGGTTTTCTGGTGGTTCATTGGAGATAAGAGTCTCACAGACCCTCCTGCCTGGGCTGGCTTTGAACCTAGATCTCAGATCTCAGCCTCCCGAATAGCTAGGATGACAGGCGTGAGCCACCGGTGCCCAGCCTCATTTTTTATTTTTTGAGGGTTAGAGTCTCCCTCCGAGTGCCAGGCTTACAGCCGTACAATCCACACCTGCCCCTCTTTGGCTTCTTTCCCCCTAGAACAGCTCACTTTCCATTTGCTTCCTTGTTTACAGCAGTACTGGGATTTGAACCCAGAATCTTGTGCTTGCTAGGCAGGTGCTCCACTACTTCAGCCATGCCCTGGCCCTTTTTGCTTTAGTTATTTTTCAGACTGGGTCTGAAAATGTCCAGCCTGGGCTGGAAATGGGCCTCAGTTCTCTGACCTAAGCTTCCTGAGTAGCTGGGACCATAGACATGGCCACCACCCGCAACTCACCAATTGAGATGGGGTCTCTTTATCGTTCTGTCGGGCTAGCATCAGAGATCTACCTTATCTCCGTCTTCTGAATAGCTAGGATTATAAGCATGTGCCACCATGCCTGGCCTCCCTTACCTTTTTCTTTTTGAATGACATCAACCTTCCATCCAGGCCCACTGTCCTGCAAGGCGGCTTGTTCCCCAGTGCCTTGGTCCTCTCAACTCGTGGTCTGTCTTTTATTTCCTAAAGACTCAGAATTAGCACTGGAGGCTGAGATCCACGTTAAACCTTTGGAGCAACATCACTCTCAGTGTTCTCGCTTGAATGTCCACCTGTCCCACGGTCACTCTGCTAAGTTGGGCCAACCGAGGCAGGGGCCTCCGGCGTGGCTGTCACTAGTGTGGGTGTTGCAGAGTAGGCAGATCCCAGGTGGGGTCAGCCCCAACATCCCCCCCCCCGCCCCTGTCCTGGCGTCCACCACGATCTTTGCCCAAAACCCTTGTTGGAAACTGAGCGCGTGGCTGTGGGACGGCGTGTGTGCCCTCCCATTCCACACAGCCCTGCACTGCCAGACCTGCCTCCCGCCTGCCATCCCAGCTGCTCAGGAGGCTGAGATCTGAAGATCTCAGTTCAAAGCCAGCCCGGGCAGGAAAGTCTGTGGTACAGGCGTGGCTCTTCTGGTTCTTCCTTAGTTCCCAATACACTTTACATTTTGGAGTCGGTGTATTAATTTCTCTGGGAAAGCACACTAGGGCTTCTGTGTTTGTATCTACGTAGAGGCTTGAGGAGAAGTGACATCTTTGCAGCGGAGTCCACGGCTACAGCCCACCACAGCTCCGTCTGTTCACCCTTGGTCCCTCCATCCAGCTTTGACAGTTTTATGAACTTCTTTCCCTTCCTTCCTTCCTTCCTTCCTTCCTTCCTTCCTTCCTTCCTTCCTCTCTCTTTTTCTTTCTCTCTCTTTCCTTTTCTTTCTCTGTCTCCCCTCTCTCCCCCCTCCTTTTCTCTTTCTGTTCCTGTTCTAGGACTTGAACTCAGGGCCTGGGCGCTATCCCTGAGCTTTTTAGCTCAAGGTTGGTGCTCTACCACTTGAGCCACAACTTCACTTCCTGCTTTTTTAGTGGTTAATTGGAGATAAGAGTCTCATGGACATTCCCTATCTAGCTGGCTTCAAACCCTTGATCATCAGGTTTCAGCGTCCTGCATAGCTAGGATTCCAGGCGTGAGCCGCTGGACCGGCTGGGAGACAGTCTTGGGGCAGGGCCGAGAGGGTTCCTCCTCTCTTTCCTGTGCTGCCTTGTGAATACACCTGACCTGGAATTCTGTGTCTGCCGTAGAGCTGCGGGGAGACGAGGCAGCGCCGCGCCGGTGGGAGGCCTTTGCGGCGCCCATGGCTGGTCAGGACCCTGCGCTGAGCCCGAGCCACCATTCTATGACGTGGCATCCTGCAGGTGGCAGGCAGGTTTCCCATCAGGCCATCCCAGGGGATGGGGGTGGCGTGGGCAGTCAGGGCCAGGCCCCAGGACAAAGCAGAGCAAACCCTGGCATCCCGTCACACCCAGGCTAGGGATGGTTTGTAATTAAGTGGGCCACGATGAATGTTTTTCAAGACTTTGTAAGATCAACGAACCCTTTCCCCAACCCCCAGGAGAACCAGGGTCCTCTGTGTGTCACCCGTGTGGCCGTGTGGAGGCTCTGCGCCCACCTGTCACTGGCAGCTCTCCTAGGCCAGAGCTGGGCTCATAGAGAGATGCTGGGCAAAACAAAGCTCACCGTACCCAGTGCCGGTGGCGCACACCTGTAATCCCAGCTCCTCAGGAGTCGGCGATCTGAGGATCGTGGTTCAAAGCCAGCTCGGGCAGAAAAGTCCCTGTGAGACTCTTATGTCCATTAACCACCAGAAAACCGTGGCTCAATCGTTTGCGCAGGGACAGCGCCCAGGCCCTGAGTTCAAGTCCAAGCCCCACAACCGACCAAAACCAAAAAAGACCGTCCTTGGCATTGCCACCCCTCTCTGCTGCGATTGGGCGGCATAGGCCACGCCCCTCTCCACTGGGATTGGGCGCCATATGCCATGTTCCTATGCTGTGATTGGGTGCCATAGGCCACGCCCCTCTCCACCACGATTGGGCACCATAGGACATGTTCCTATGCTGTGATTGGGCACCGTGGGCCACAATCTGCCACGATTGGGTGCTATAGGCCACGCCCTCTCCACAGTGATTGGGTGCCATAGTCCACGCCCCCTCTGCTGTGACTGGGCACCATAGGCCATGCCCTTGGTTGCTGTAGGTCACGCCCCTCCATCATGATTGGGCGCCGTAGGCCATGTTCCTATGCTGTGATTGGGCGCCGTCGGCCACCCCCAGAGGCTCCGGCCTGTGTCTGCGCGTCACCCTCGCACAGGGGACGACCAGCTGGGGAGACGCGGGGTCACCTTCAGCGGCTGCCGGCTGCCACCCTCGCAGCAGCTGGACCACCAGCGGCTGCCGGAGTAGCTGAAGCGCGCGCTGGACCAGTACGTGGAGAACGGCTACACGATCGGCTACGTCCACCACGGCCTCAGCAGCCAGAACAAGCCGTCCCGTCCCGCGCCGGCTGCAGGGCGCCGACCGGAAGCGGGTGGCCAGACTCCGGGGGCGGGGCCGCGGGAGGGCGGCCGCGGGCTGTGGTGGAGGCCGGGCCGCTGTGGTGGAGGCCGGGCCGCTGTGGTGGAGGACCGGGCCTTGCAAGCCTCAGACCCCGCTGCGGCTCCGTCCTCTGGGCTGGCCGGCGCTGCCTTGAGGCAGGGCTGGCAGGGGGAGGCGCCGGGACCTGCGTTGAATCTCCGGCCCGCCTGGTGAGTCCTCAGGCCTGGCCCCGCGCGAGTCTGTGTTGGGGCCGCAGGCTGCCCTCCCTCCCCCCTCCTCAGCCCCTTCTGCAAAGCATGGGTGCGTTCACACCAGACCCTGCGCGGGTGCGCACTCACCCTGCCCAGCTCCAAGGGTGGACGTTGGTGCGGCTGCACAGAGGGCTCCCAGGCCACCCCAGGGCTCCTTGGCCCCTGCCCGGCATGGAGGGGGTGTCGCTGGTCCAAGCAGGCAGGGACAGCTGGCTGGCAGTGCCACCGAGGTGACGTCACCAGACACAGTCCAGGGGGACGTGGGACATGGCACACGCTCACCACAGAGGCGGTGGATAAGCATCAGCGACTTGCTCATTTTATGCTGGCCCTCGAGCTTGAACTCAGGGCCTTGCTCTCTCCCTTGACCTCTCCAGTCAGGGCTGCTACTCTGACACTTGAGCCACATCTCCACCTCTGGCTCTTAAGTACTTCACTGAAGATAAGAATCTCATGGATTTTCTCTGCCTGTGGTGGCTTCAAACCTTGATCCTCAGATCTCAGCCTCCTGAATACCTGGGATTACAGGCGTGAGCTGCCAGCCCTGACCGTGACCATCTTTATACACATGTCCACCATATAGATGCGGTAGGCAGGTGTGGCCACTGTGAGAAGGTAAGTGTGAATGTGTATAATTTTTGTGTTTAGTAGGATATAAGTATAAGTTGGGAGTACTTCCTATTTAAGAATGGCTGTTTCTTCCAGCCAGTATCCACAGCTTTGTCAATTGGGTCCTGGAATTTGAGCAGTGGGTCCCGGTGGAGGGTAGAGGCTGGCTGGCCCATACTGGCCATGCGGGGGCCCTCCTGGGTGGGGGCTCCCTGAAGGACACAAGTCCCCTGCACAGAACACGGCTCTGTGGAGTCTCAGCATGCCACGTGAGCCCTGTCCCGCCCCAGAGGGTGCCTACTTCCGTGTCAATCCTGGAGGAGAGCGGGGGCTGGGAAGTCAGGCCTCTCCCCCCCTGGGGTGCCCTGACACCCCCGGCCTGGCGCGTCGGGTCTTACTAGGTTTTGCTGCTACACAGTGCCCTCTGTGGCCCTGGCGTAGGGGTTTTAGAAAGGCCATGGTGGGCGCTGTTCTCAGCAAGGTGCCCTTGTGCTGCGTGGGTGCCAGGGGCAGGGGTTGGGGAAGATCTAGGGTTTTCTCTGAGTGTGAACTGTTCTATGTTCTGTGTTCTATTCTGCGTCCATAGCTGGCCACTCCTGCAGTGCAGGTGGGGGATGCCGGCCGGGGTGTCTGAACCCCGCGGGCCGGACCGCCTCTCTGCCTCTTCCTCAGGTACAAGAAGAACCTGAAGGCACTGTACCTGCTGCACCCCACCAGCTTCATCAAGGTGCTCTGGGGCTCATCAGGTGGGTGCTGCCCAGGGGGACCCCAGGTGCATAGGGGTCCCACGGCATGCCTCCCTGTCCAGCTTCCATCTCGGGGGTCAGGAGAGCCTGTCCCCCACCTTGCCCACTCGGGGGGCCTGGTTTGAAACCAGCCTGAGCAGGAAAATTCCATGAGACTCCACTTTTAAAAAGCCAAAAGCCAAAATGCAAGTGTGGCTCAAGTAATAGAGCATCAGCCTTGAGCAGAAAAAGCTAAAGGATGGCACCCAGGCCCTGAGTTCATGCCCCCAGGACTTGGATCTGCAGGTGTGTGCACACAGGTGCACATGAGACCCTGAGACCAGCCATGCAGAAGTGGAGGTTTGTGATCTCAGGACCAGCCTCCAAGGGCTCCTCATGCCAGGTCTGCCCACTGGCCTCTACAGGATGAGAAAGAGTCACGGAGATCCAGACACCGCTGCTCACGCCTGTCATCCCAGCTACTCGGGCAGCTGAGATCTGAGGATCACAGTTCAAAGCCAGCCAGGAAAAGTCTTTGAGACTCTTATCTCCAATTAACCACCAGAAAACTGGAAATGGCGCTGTGGCTCAAATGGAAGAACGCATGCCTTGAACTGAAGATCTGAGCTCCTCAGGTCACACAGCAAAAAGTCGGGCTCAGGTGGTTGGCTCTGGTCGATCATGAGCTCAGGTGGTTGGCTCTGGTCGATCATGAGCTCAGGTGGTTGGCTCTGGTCGATCATGAGCTCAGGTGGTTGGCTCTGGTCGATCATGAGCTCAGGTGGTTGGCTCTGGTCGATCATGAGCTCAGGTGGTTGGCTCTGGTCGATCATGAGCTCAGGTGGCTGGCTCTGGTCGATCATGAGCTCAGACCTTGTTTGGGGAGGGGTTCTGGGGAAGAAGCAGGAGCAAGTCTGTCACTGCTGCTGGTAGGCAGCTCCTGAGCCTTTGCAGCCCTCCTCCCGCGTGGGGCTGTGCCTTTGAGCACCCCTGGATGGCGTCCTGCACGGTGTTGCTCAGGGGGTCACAGCAGGGGCCCGGGAAGGACCTGGCCTCTGGCCTCAGGCGGGGGGTGATTTGGGGGCTTTTCTGCAGCCCCAGCTTTCAGTGCCTGGCAGAATCCTAGAAAAAGCCACTTTGCTGGTGCTGGGCACCCAGGGTGATGGTTTCTCCCTTGTCCACAAGGGGGAGCCAGTGCCCTCTCCCCTGCCCCCTAAAACATTGAAAATATACAAATACTCAAATGCCTCCAGACTTACAAATTGCTGTCACAGTAACAAAATAGGTTTTATTTTTGCTCAGTACCTCACATTGCTTCTATGGTAACTGTGCAGTTCTTTGCCTGCGCTCAGACCGGCACATATTAAATATACTCACGAGGGAAATAATACTGTTGGAAAAAAATTAAATAAAAGCGAGTGAATTTGCAAAGGGCAAAACTGAGCCTCATTAATAACGGGAATATGCGGAAGGCATGGGAATTGATTTGTGCAAAGGCTTGTGTTGTCTTTCTGCCCGGCCGGGGGGAGGGGGTTTGCAGTGGGGGGGCTGGCTCCCTGTTTGGAGGGTCCAAGGCCCTGAGAGAAGTGGTTCAAGGAGAGGGTGGAGGAACTGGACGTGGCCAGGGCTTCTCTGACTACAGCAGGGTCTCCAGGGGTCCTGTTTAGTCTTCACCACTGGAGAGAGGCAGGTGCAGGGCCCCCACGTACCCCCCAGCCACAGCAGCCGCCCTGCGGAGGCTGCTTCCACCACCTGGTCTCCTGATCCCAGCACTTTCTGGAAGAGCTGACAGGACAGGCTCTGGCTTGCTGGACCCCCCAGTCTGAGGCCTCTATGCAAATCATGGAGACGCTTTTATGCAGATGAGCCTGTCAGGGAGGATGCTATTGGAGGCAGGTGTTTTTATGCAGATGAGCCTGGGGGGGTGAGGCCTCACAGATCCTGAAGAGAAGCAGCGGGGGAGGGGGGGTGCCTCGTGCCTCAAGTCTGTGATGTTTGAGTTGACGCCGGTCGGTCAGCGTTTACGGATTCCTAATAGGAACAATGGGGCGTCTCTGGCAGACCTGCTGCCCGCCCCCCTCCCTGCCCCCCTCCCCCCATATTCTGCCTAACCACCGTATCCTGCTTCTCCTTTCTCAGTCACAAATTTGGGAAAAAAGTCACCTATCTCAACCACGAGCGAGCTCCGGGAGCAGCTCCAGTGTGACCAGCTGCCGGTTCCCCCGGAAGTCCTGCGGTGAGTCCTGCCCCGCCCAGCCTGACCCCCCCAGAGCCCTGTCCCCTTCACGGTGAAGCCCCCACATGTGCGCCCCGCCAGGTGTGGGCCTGAGGCCGGCAGCGTCCACCCAGACGCTCCTTAGAAGGTGGGATGGAGAGGCGGGAGCCGGCGCGGCGCCCCGCGGTGCTCTGCTGGCAAAACCGATTAAACACCTAAGCCACGACCGCGGCCCGCTGCGCGCTGCTGCTGCTTTTGAGCAGGTTTGCGGGGTTTCTCGGCGTGCACAGAGGAAGCTGAGCGGGTGCACAGTGCTCTGGTGCCTCCTGCCCCGTGTTCCCTTGAAAGAGTAATCGGCGCGTCGCTTCTGGGCTGAAGCGGGGGACCAGGTGACCCCAGGACCTGTGCGCGGCAGGCTGAGGACAGAGAGGTCTCCAGAGAGTCGGCCCCAGGCTCTCTCTGCCCTCCGCGTCTCTCTCCGGGGCAGAACCCTGGCACCATGCCCGCACGGAGCCGAGGCTTTGCTGGAGCGGAGGGGTCGGGTCTCTTGTGCAGGAGGGTAGACAGTGGGCGGGAATGGCCCCTGCCCTCTCGGGAGCCCCAAGCTAGTGAGGCTCATGGTCAGACATGGCTGTGGTAGAGGAGAAATCCTGGAGGCCTACAGGAGGAGGTGCTCGTAGTAGTTCCCTAGGGAGAGCTAGCTAGATGAAGTAGCCAGCAGGGGGTCCGGCGGAGGGGACGCCCGCTGCCCTCTGCCCTCACGTGGGAGTAGATACTGGACTCCCGTAGGGCCCCGGCGGGCAGAGGCGGGAGCACAGAGCCAGACTGTCTTGGGCAGGGTCCCCAGAGGCCCAGGTGACAGAGACGCAGGCTGCTGGGGTGGCAGGGCCGGCGCTGGGGGAGGGCTCAGGAAGTGGTGGACGTTGGCAGACGGCCCCTAGGCTGGATTGGGGGCAAAAGGCCAGGGGTCACGAAGCAGCCAGCTCTGGTCTTTGGGGCCCATGGGGCACACAGGTGCCTCAGGGCTCCGGAGCTCCCGACTGTGGCTCTGGTGGCCGGTGCTGCCCATAGTGGCCCACAGATCCGGCCCGGGGGCCCCCTGGGCTGGGGCCATGGGGCTGGGTGTTCCCCAGGCCCCAGGTTGGTCTTGAGGCCCTGTCCAGGGGTAGCTCTGAGGTTTGAAGACCCGGATCCTGGCTGCATCCCGGTTTGGGACCTGGGACAATAGATCCGGCCAAACCTTGGTGTTGGGATCAGAGCAGCAAGCGTTGCGCTGCGGACTGGCGGAGGGCAGATGGCGGCTTCTCCTTCTCAGGCCCCTCCACCTCTGCTTGGCACCTCTCCCTAGCCGGGAGAGACAGCCCAACAGCTCCTAGTTAGTGAGGGAGGGAGGGCGGGGGGCCCCAGGGAGCCCAGGCAGCCGCCCTGGCTGCCCGAGGGCTGACCGGCCTCGGCCGCACCTGCAGGTACGATGAGAAGCTTCAGGCGCCGCACAGAGGCCTCCCGCCCCCGCCCGCCAGGCCGCCGCTGCCCACGCAGCAGTTCGGGGTCAGCCTGCAGTAGTGAGCCAGGATGGCTGCACCGACCCTCCTGCCCCCGCCGGCCCCCCCTGGGGCTGAGGGCCACCTCCATGTCCATCCCTGGACCCCGCAGACCATGGCACCCCAGCCTCCCGGCTCACCCGGCAGCCCACACCTTGGCCTCCAGGCCAGGCCAGGCCATCAGCTGACCCCCAAGGGAGGACCAGGTGCCGGGGGTCTGCGGTCCCCTCCAGGGGCCTGGGCAGCACGTGCGTGAGCATTCCACCACCCACACGGCCACCGTACGAGTGGCAGCCCCAGGACCTTGGCTCACCCTCTCTCTCCTGCTTCTGTGTGCTGCCTTATTTCTCGTGTGATCTCATAATCTTTTGGTTTTTTTCATTCGATGTTTCGGGTTTTGTTGTTTTCTGATGGTGATACTGGGTTTGAACTCAGGGCCTCAGGTACTCTACCACCTGACCCAGGTCTCCAGCCTTTTTGCTTTTGGTATTTTTCAGATAGAGTCTTGAGTTTTTGCCCGAGAACTTACTTTCTGCCTCCTGAGTATGCCTGGTTTGTTTCAGATGTGAGGGTCCCGACATTTTTGCTTGGGCTGGCTCCCACCAACACCTTGAGAAGCTGGGATGAAGAAAATAATGTGAAGTAGAAAGGTTGTCGCCAGGGGTCTGGGAAGGTGCCTTGCATGCATGAGTTCCTGGGTTCAATTCCTCAGCACCACATAAGCAGAAAAAGGCAGAAGTGGCACTATGGCTCAAGTGGTAGAGTGCTAGCCTTGCGCAGAAGAGCTCAGGGACAGCGCCCAGGCTGAGTTCAGGCCCCACAACTGACCAAAAAGAAAGTTTTCCCCCAGATGTATTAGGAGCACAAACTGACTACCAAGCCAACTGTTTTCCCCCCCCCCCATTCTTTTCCTGTCTTCATGCTACAGCCCACCCTCTCTCAGGCATCACCCAGCATTACTGATGAATGATTGACACCTGACAGGGCAGACACCTGCCGTGACCACGGCCCCTCTAGGGGGCGCCGGGGGCGCTGGGCCTGAGGACACCTGGCCCTCAGCCGGCAACCATCTTAGCCTCGGGGGATGGTTTTCCCTGCAGTCCCGAGGCCTCTGTGCCCACAGCCAGGCACCGTGGTTTGGTTCTGCGGGGCCAGGGCTGCTCTGGTGGCTGTAATGTTCAGGGAACCTGGGCAAGATCCCTCGGTCTGGAGGCTCAGCCGGGCCTGCCTTGTGTCCACCATAGCCTTCTGCCTAATTCTCATCTAATGGATTTTAAAAATGCAGCCTGAGGGCTGGGAAGGTGGCTTAGCGGGAGAGTGCTTGCCTTGCACGCATGAAGCCCTGGGTTCGATTCCTCAGTACCACATACACAGAAACAGCTAGAAGTGGCACCATGGCTCAAGTGGTAGAGTGCTCGCCTTGAGCAAAAGAAGCTGAGGGAGAATGCCCAGGCCCCTGAGTTCAAGACCCAGGACTGACCAAAAAAAAAAAAGCCTGGAGCCACTCAGCAGGCTGAGATCTGAGGATCACGGTTCAAAGCCAGCCCAAGCAGGAAAGTCCATGAGACCCTTACCTCTACATAACCACCAGAAAACAGGAAGTGGTGCTGTAGCTCAGGTGCTCAGGGATAGTGCCTAGGCCCCAAGTTCAAGCCCCATGACCAACAACAACAATTAAAAAAACAACCAGCCTGGCGTTGGTAGTTCACAACTGTAGTCCTAGCCACTCAGGAGGCAGACAAATCCAGGAGATTCTTATGTCAAATTAACCAGCAAAAAGTTGGAATTGGAGGCATGGCTTAAGTGGTAGAGTGCCAACCTTGAGCAATAAAAGCCAATCCAAAGAATAAGAACCTAATTTCAGGGCTGGGAAGGTGGCTCAGTGGTAGAGCGCTTGCCTTGCATGCCTGAGGCTCTGGGTTCGATTCCTCAGCACCACATAAGCAGAAAAAGCCGGAAGTGGCACTATGGCTCAAGTGGTAGAGCGCTAGCCTTGAGCTGAAGAGCCAAGGGACAGCACCCAGGCCCAGAGTTTAGGCCCCCACAACCGGCAAAAAAAAAAAAAAAGAACCTAAGTTCACGACTCACTAGAGACACTTAAAAAAACAAAATCAGCTCATGAACGCAACGAAGCGCTCTGGGGTGTCAGTGGCAGAGCACCTACGTGGTGCGGCCCAGCTCACACCCAGCCTCACACACGAGCACAGGACCGACTCGTCACCTCTAAGGAGGGGACCCTGGCCGTGGCTTCGAAGGCATTTTGCATGCGATTGCCCCGTTCATTAATATTTGATGCTGTTTCGTAACTATAACAAGATGGCAGTAAACGTGTTAAATAAAGCGCCACATGTGTACGGTTGTTTGGACTACGAATAGTCATTAACATTCATAACCAAATCCTATTCACAAATGTTAATTTGCTGATTTAAGTTCAGAAGCACAAAGCAGAACACTCGCCACGGTCGGGCGGCTGGGGCTGATGAGGGGTGGGGGGGACCCCCGAGGCCGGGGTGCTGCGTGCGGCCCGTGCACGCATGCGTGCACACAGTCCTCACAGCGGAGCGCAGATCCGGAGTCATAGGTAAAGGATTGAACTGTGAGGGTCCTCGAGCCAGAGGTGAGCTACGGCTCAAGTGGTAGAGGGCTAGCCTCGCGCAAAACTGGCACGTGTGAGGCCCTGAGTTCAAGCTCTGGAACTGGCACAAAAGAAAGAAAAAGGCCGCATGCGTGCAAATAGGACCGGGGGAGGCGGGGCTCGGG